TATTTCGTGAACTCGAATCGTAAATTGAATGTTTTGACAAATAAAACAATTACACCCGGTGCTCTTGGACAATTAATACAGAATATAACCCAATACGACGCGGACGTAAAAATTGAATCGCGATTAAATCCAGTATTGACACGTCCTGATAACTTTTATTATAAAACATCGAACGTGAGATTACTTCTTCCCGATGTTCGACAGCTTCCTTCGCAAAGGTGTGAGTAACAATCGAATTTTTATCTAGTTCCAGCCAAATTCAATTTCCTACTGCGCATAGTCCGCGTAACTGAATTTCAATTTTGTTGGAAAGTAAAAACAATGAGACAAATGAAATACAAGGCGAATTAATTGAGCGAAATGTGATTATAGGAGAAAAATACATTGTTCGAAAGTCGAATTATACTTGCTATAAAAATATTTAATTTGAAGAAAATAAATATGTCGAAAATTAGCAAATCGATTTTAATATTATTCAGTGATTGATTAACTTTTGTATAAACAAATTCGTATTACTTTCGGAGAAATATTTAATCGCGATGAAAAAAATCAATATATTGTAGTTCGTTATATTCTGTTATTTTTACCAGACACAGCGAAAAGCAATGAATATGTTAAAAATATAACGTAATGTTGATAAAACTACAGAATTCAAACCACTCCAAGCTTTCAAGCTTTCTACCTCCTGTTTCGTTTTTATGTTCCCGGTACCGACGACAGAAAACATTTTAACAGGTCTTCCGAATAAAAATAAAATACTACGAGACGCAGCGTTCCTTTTTTCCTATTTTACTATTACATATGCTGCTTTACTTTCGTTTAAGAGCACACAGACAACCACCGGCGCGTTCGCGAGCCCCAGGGACCCGCAAACAGCAGTTCGAGAAATACTGCTGTAGAATAATTTAAGACATGTTATAAAAACGACTTGCTACATTTGAATATTATACATACTTTATACTGCACATATAGGCTAGCGATTATTTTATAGGGATTATTGATTTCAGTCGCGGCAAATATTCATCGAAATCGACGTTGACGTACAGGCTGTTTCAAAACGATGGGGTATAGAAGTTCGTGCAAAAAGAAACCGAAAAGCTCTTTACCGCTTTTCGACTTAAAGCTTCGCTCTTGAGATATGGGCAGTCAAAGTTCTCCTTTAGGGGGTCGCCATTCGCGCGCGAGCGTCACGCGCTCCGAGAGTCACACACAAACTTTAACGACTCGTATCCCAAAAACGGAACCTCCAATAGCAAAATCGTAAAGGACATCTCGATTTCATTTCTCTCGAGGAATCCATACGCTTAATTCGATATAAAAATCATAAAGAAATAATAGAAAGTTACAAATTACAGTTACGAATACCAAAATTGTTACACGATCGATGCAGTTATTCCACGTATATTTCGAAAGAAATTAACACGTGAAATGATGCGTGTTACTTATATTTTTCTTTTAGATACAGGTATCCTTTGAACTTTTAACGTTTTAATAATAGGAACGTCTGAAGAGATCGCGAAAAAGTGCCAAGTAATTTTATCCGCGCTGCAAAAGAAGACGAACAAGTTTGATGTTAATTTTTTTGAGAACTTTTAATTACCGGCTCTATCGTTTCGAGGAAGAGCCTGTCGATTTGCAACGTTCCCGATGTTCCTTTCCTCTTTCGACGTGCCGTTTGAATTCTTTCTCGAAACGATATCTCGTTTGATTCCCACCCGCACTGAAATTTTACACCGGAGTGGTTGTCTTGGAAAAACGACGATCAGGAACGCGAGGAGCGTCGTCGAGTGCGCATCGCCGGACGTCGTCGTCGACAGTACCGACAATGGATGTCGAGAATGTCCTGAATGTTTGCCGCCCCAGGCAACGAGACTCGCTACTTGAGGCGTCAGTGGAGCGACAATCTTGTCGTCATCATCGTTACCGTCCGTCTTGTTCAAAATCGCTTCGTCGAGTAATTTTTCATCGACCATTTCGATAACAGATTTAAATACATCCAGAGGCAACGGGCCGTGTCGATCAACCGGCGATATTACAGCGGCGCGACACGACTTTGATGTTACAATTACGCAAATCGCTTGTCAACACCGCGTAATCAATAAACAGAATCGTTTGCTTATTCGTTCCGCGAGCACTCGAAATTTTCACGTAACTGGAAATTAATTCGTCGAATTTTGGAGCCCGAACGATCCTAAAATTGCGGACTTCGGTGCGTTTCAAATCACAAACGCGTATTTGTTTGTTCGCGACGGCGACGAGATTCTGTTTCGCTGCATACGATTTTTTCAAGCAGACCTTTCCGAGGGGCTTGATATCTAATCAAGGAATAGCTTCGAAGAATTCAGTGTTTCGCAGTTAGTATTCTGGGAGGACTGCCGGCGAAGGACTGCGAGAACGTCAATGAGGATTTCCTGGTCGGTTTCCTAAATTTTGCATGAGCTCCGCACATGCATACTGCATAGAACACGCATGTACACAATACAGAGTGGCTCCAACGTGTCCCTAATTTGGAATACCAGACCGCAATCCCGTAGTCTCTGAAGTCTCGCATAGTCGCGGGTTTATCATACGTCGATTTTTATTGCTTCGACGGCGATGGAAACCTCCCTTTGATCCTTCTCTATTACAAATCGCCACGTCGAAAGTGACAAAATAATTTTAAACTCGCGTATCTTAATATTTCAAATTTAAAAATTCTGTAACCATTAATATTCGAGGGAACGAATTCAACGAAGAATTGAGTCTAGTGTTTTTTATATATTATACATTCGCGGGAATTTAATCAAACGTAGATGCATATCGTTTTTTTGACGTAACAGCGGGAAAAATATCTGTACTTCGAAACCTGAGTATTGCAGCGCAAGTGCGCTCGATGAAAGTTTTTCAATAATTCTCTCTATACAATTTCACTTCAAACATATTACGGCAACTTCTCCGTACAAAAGGAAAGTTCACGAAACTGCCCTCAATGTTCTCTTTTTTTTTTTTTTTTTTTTTTTTTAACCGTATAACGATTTTAAATTTTGCTCCTCGAACCAGTTACGAAAAAAAAAAAAACGAAACAAAAATAATAAAACAGAATAGAAGTGTAAATTTAAATGGGGGCTCTGTACGTGAAAGTTTGAACTACTATCGTCCGCGAAGAAGACACTAGGGGAACGTTACAATCCCGCGGCTAAGTAAAAAAAAAAATACGAACGAACGTGTCTGAATACCAAATTTTAATGATGTAATCGCGAATTCGGTATCCATGCTAACCAGCCAACCGGCGATAACCAACATCGGTGGAACACTGATGAAAAAAGTTAACCCAATTCCGGGCGATGCGAGCACAAACGGAGGACCGTGCACACGAATCGCGCGTAGAAATAAAATGGCATGGTCACGTATCCAAACATTAATGAACTAATGCTAACGACGAAAGTTTCTTACAAAAAACGGAGCCCCGGGACTGTTCACGGTCTTGTATCACGCGATAAGAAAAACACTCGTTAGTTCGGTCGTGTATACTGTGCAGAGCTGGAAGAAAGACGAGTGGGCGTGACAGATGGGAGGGGAAGTGCCCCGTACGCCACGCCCCCATTCTCACCTTCGATGATTCTTCAGCCAGTACCGTTCGACCCACGTGATCGCTTCGACCAATAATAATGACGGAAAGATGAGTGGGCGGGTCAGGGGCAATGGGAGTGTCCCTTACGCCCCGCCTCCATCCCCACCCTCGATGGTTTTCCAGCCAGTACCGTTCGACCCACGTGATCGCTTCGACCAATAATAAACAACAGATAGAAAAACGAGTTTAATGAAATTACTCGAGAAAATTTAACTTTTTCCTCCAATGTTCTTTTTTTTTTTAATTTTAGTGCTCTGAATTTGCATATGAAATTATTCCCACGCGTTTTGGAGCCACCTATATATTTTGGTAAAGTTTTTTAAACTTAGAATCGTAACGACATCGTCTTTAAATCTACTTTTCTTTATTTTTATTGTATAAAAGTATGCACAGTGGTGGATTATTTTGGTTAAGTACCCCTTCTTCTGGGATATTGTACGAACTTCGTGCCACGTATCAAACGCTAGATGTAAACTAGCTCAGTAGGTCGAAACACAAAAGGTCTGGAGAAACGATTAAAAAACCGATGGCAAAGCTTCCATTAAAAAATTGCCGTAAATGTTAGAGCCTCCAAATGAACGTTTACCGCAACAAATAAATAACCGAAATTCACGACGATGGCTGTGGGAATGGCAGAAACGAATAAAAAGGACGATAAATAGTCCGCTCTAATTCATTTCCCGATTAACTTTCATTTTGACTGCAATAAAACGTAACATTTGAATTCCGAAAGTTTTCAAAGTTATTTTCATTCGAGTGAAAATTCATAGAAATAATTTTTTTTTTAAATCATTTGACTGTTGAACTTGACAAAAAGGATAATACATTCCTTAAACGATCATTTTTCATATTACTTCAACGATCATTATTTCGACAATGTCGAAGCATGTTACAGTCGGCGGAAAATCGCCTAACTGTGAGTACGTACATTTAGATGCATGTTAGGCTACTTACACAGACACAAAAAAAGCGTACAGATTCATACGCTGCGCTAACCAGCTGGATTATGTTCTATATTATACAGGGTGCCCCACGAAACGGATCCAAACCATAAAATGTTCAATTTGTTTTGAAACCATGGCTCGACCCGGCTTCGTGGGACGCCCTGTAGCTGGCGTTAGAAGACGAACAGAGAAAAAGAAGGTAGGAGGTACATAGAAAAAGAAAAAGTATTACAGATATAGAAATATATAGAGTAAAGGTCAAAGATAATACGATTAGTATGTAGACATGTACATTGAGTCTATAGATGTGAAGTATAGAAGTGAGAAGCGTAGCGATAGATACGCGTGAAAATATGGTAAATCGAGGAAGAGGATCGCGGCGTTTTAGAGAAAAAATCTACTGTCTAATCCTAATTGCAAACCATCAACCAAACAAACGAACCAACCTCCTCGGTAAGGCCTAGCAGAAAATGTTCGCGGGCCCCCTGTAACAAAAACATATATAAATCATAAGAAATCATAGAATGAAAAATAAATAACTACGTGATTTTAATAACTGACACTCATGTATATTATAGTATGGTATGAGAACAAGTACTCAAGACAGGGGTAGGAGAAGGTCGCTTTCAGGGGTGGCAAACTAACGGGACAACGAACTCGAAACCGAACGCTCTGTATTATAAATGCTCGTTAGCTTTCATGGGGGGAAAAAAAAATTATTAGAACGATCGTGTACTGTGCAGAGTTGGAAAGATGACCAGTGCGCGAGCATAAGAGAAAGGGGAACGCCCAGTCCACGCCTCTGACGCTCCTCCAGTCACAACCGTACGGTTCACGCGACCGCGTCAGCCAATAGCGAACGGCGATAGAAAATGTGGGCGTGTAGGGGAGTGGCCGTTCACGCTCGGATTCTTTCCACTCTACACAGTACACGTTTCATAAATATATGGTAAACACTCGATAAAAATTGCGTTGTTCAGCGCGCACATTTATTTATAACTTATGAATGTTTCAAATTAAACTCGATATGCGCTTCAAGCGGTTTTTAATAGCGCTTGAATATTCGGGGTTTGGTGCAATGACAAAACGCAGTTAAACTATATCAAATTTAAATTTAATAATCTGTTACTGTTAACACAGTGCGGTTACACTTGACCTTTGCCTCGAATGGATGCGACACTTGAATTTTGATTTGTATGTCTGAAGCTTCATTTGAATATTCGAGACACTTGGCCTTTGGTTTATTCTGATCTTCCCCGTCAGGTATGCTACCCTTATAAATCGGTCTTGGGGACGGGGACGAGGCACGCGGATTGGTTGTTGTTGACATTTGAATTTTGTACGGTAGGCGGTCGTTTTTTCCTGATTGGAGGAGTGTTTTTTTACGGAAAAATTAGCAGAGTGACCGCCTCCAAGCCATCGAGTGTAGCAGGTAATAATTTTATGAAGCGCCTTGACCTTACTAAGACCTTACTTGACCTTACAAGATATATTACTACATATTACTGATTATAAAACGTCGCAGAGTGCAACCGGTGGTCGATGGCTTCATAAACTTATTGTCGCTACGGGTAAGTTCATGGTTTCTTTAGACCTTTGTTCGGGCGTGCATGGGGTTGAACTGTAATTATTTCGTTACCGTGTAACATACTTTATTAGTTTCATCTTCCAGAATGTGACCCTGTAATTAGTTCCATCAGTATATATTAACAAAAATTATCATGCAGAACCCCCAGAGGCGTAACGTTTACCATATTCATGATAGTAATATAATTTATTTATACGCAGGTTGACCTATTCGCATCGAAAAAGGATATGTTTCGTGGATAACTTGTTAAAAAAAAATGAAGCTGTCGAACTTTTTTCCTTTTTTTACTATTTCAGAATTTTTCCACAATTTTCGTATAAATCTTGTAGAACATTTATTTTTATTTTTGAGTAAACAAAAGTGAACAAGTTTACGCCGAAAATATGGTGTTTTGGTTTTTCTAAATACTCCCGACTTTTTTCCGAGTTTTCAGTGCGTGTAATACGTCGCTAATCATGGTTGGGGGGGGGGGGTGGGGGGGCGATAATGGTAGCATCAACGCGATTAGCCGACGTCCAAACTGCGAAAAGGGCGAACTCAAAAATCGCGACAGCTACAGCTCTTCGGAATCGAAACTGGAACGAAATGGATGCGAAGTCTAGTAGAAAATGATGTACCGTTATCGATATTTCACGCACCCTCCGGTTAGACTGGGTTAGGTTGGAATATACAGGGTAGGTCGAGCGATTGGGACAGGTCATGCCTCTTGTTTCGTCGAAGATAGAAACAAATATTGCTGGAGAAAACATCAAATGGAACCGATAATGTCTCCCTCTGTCCCTTCTCACAAATGCAACGATGCACTTGCCAAATGCAATTGCACTATTTTCAGAAATCGAACCCGTACGCTCTTATCTAAATGAATCGACTATTCTCGCCGTACGGTAGAAAGATATTCCTGAAACGAACACTTCGCGAAATTATTCGGCTGGAAAATCGAAAACCGAAAACTACTTTCAGGCCTTTAAAAAAAAAAATTGAAACACAACGAGCGCTGGCAATACACGTTGCATTTTTCGCCCACCCGTGGTCCCAGCCTATTCCACTTAGATCGAATGAAAAGTTTCGAGCGTTTAAAAACTTTCGAGCGAAGCGAAACAAAGATTCAACTACCGGGCAGATTTAATTTCACTAATTGCTGTGAAGTAATTGCACGCGGGGAATAAGAAATAATGGAACGAATGATAAATACGAAGGTACGAGGTGTAACGACACATATATACATTGTACGTAAGTAGAATGAAAGTAATTTTTAATTATCGAATGCTGTTTAATTATGTACGATATAATATTCGTGCAACGAATAATAATCAACATTTAATACTCTTATGCAACCAGTCGAGGATTATGGGGTTCGAGAACCTACAAAATATTGAGATTCTACAGTTCTCGACGATTCTACGTGAGAAAATGAGTAAAAGAGACAGAGTAAAATGTATTCGGGGGTTCAATTGCGAGAAAAGCTGCTTAGTAATCAAAGTAAGTAGAAATGACAAATATAAATCAGGCGCGGATGAGATATATTAGAATTCTACACAGTCTCGATAATTCTAAGTGAGAAAATGAGTAGAAAAAGAAGAATAGCATTTATTCGTTTGGGGGGTTCAATTGCGAGATAAAACTACTTAGTAACCAAAGTAAGTAGAAATGGCAAATATAAATCAGACGCGGATGAAGTATATTGGAATTCTACACAGTCTCGATAATTCTACGTGAGGAAATGAATAGAAGAAGAATAGCATTTAGTCGTTTGAGGGTTCAATTGCGAGAAAAGCTGCTTAGTAATCAAGGCAAGTAGTAGTGTCAAATATAAATCAGACGCGGATGAAAAATGTTGAAATTAAATTTTTTTTTTCCAGTAATCCAAAGATTAGTAAGTTGACCAATTGTCTTGATATTTATGAACGTGAATGTATGTTAAATATAAGAAAATCGTGATCCCTCGTTTCTAACAATGAGAACTAATTAGTTTTCTGAATATAAAATATTGAAATTCAATTTTTTTTTTTCAGTAATTCAAGGATTAGTAAGTTGACCAATTGTCTTGATATTTATGAACGTGAATGTGTGTTAAATATAAGAAAATCGTGATCCCTCGTTTCTAACAATGTGAGCTAACGTTCACGTTTTAAGGTAGAGCTGGAGAAAGATTTAGTTTGGTAAAATGTGAGCGAACGAACTCGCTAGTTGTAATTCCATGTATTTCGTGTAACGGGGAATTACCTATCGATTCTGACCGGTGTTACTTAGCAAAGTAGCACCGTGCCAACAGTAGTTATATGAACTCCGCCATACGAACTATCCTATTGCTGATTGTGAATCCAACAAAGCGATTCGCCGAACGGACGTAGAAACTTAATCTTCCATATATGCGGCCCGAAACGTAATGAATGTGAGTAATATAGAAACGGTAAAAGGTACCTCTCGACGTTCCCTTATCGCGATCCCTTTATCGCGGTTGCCTCTAAATTATAACTGGTCTGGATATTGTGCAACCGTTCCTATGGATTTCCAACCACCGAATATCTTCAACGTTTCTTCCTACAACGTACGGCCATTCGAGCGCGCTATGATTATCAATAAGAATTTACGACCCACGAAAGCTCAAATTGGAATAATAAATTTTTATATTAAAACGAGTTTCATGGAATAATATAGTATCATCAATGTTTATAAAAAACGAAAGACAGATTTGAAAAGCTTGTTTCATCGTTTCCACGGTTACGAAGGTCGATCACGTTGACGATTGGTAATTAGGTTTCCTCTACTTTTGTGAAAACGTACGGATATACAGAAAATTTCGCAGTGCGTGGTACAATCGAACACGAGGTAATTGTTCATGAAAAAATGAATCGAAAACGTGGAATAGAATTTTTTCGTGCGAGGCTTCGTTTTCGAGAAAATCGATTTGGAAACTGCTCGGCGCGCGCGCGTTTTACCGAAACACGGTTCGATAGATTTCCCATACAGACAGCTATCACTTTTACGCGCAGCAAAAGTTCTAATTTGCAATTAGAAATACGATTTTGAAAAATTCCGAACGAACAAATTTTATTCAACAATGCAGACCACGCTGTATATTGCAAATTCATCCATCAAACTCCATAGACGGCTGTACGATATGTTGCGCTCGTGCTGGACGGGAGACCATTTTTCTCATTTCTCGGTAATTCGATAAAATTGACAAACACGCATGTTTGACAAATTTTTAACGAAATAAATCGAATGTTGATTTTAGAAGCACTGATTCAGAAAACAGAATCTCAAAAATATAATTTCTGTTTCTGAAAAATTTTGCAAATATCACCAAGCACTGGACACTGTTTAAATAAAAAATACTCGATATTGTCTACAGTTTCGTAATACTCACGATCAAGTAATAATAATTTGTTATTATAAACAACGGAAATAAAATGACAGAATGCAGAAGTAAAATTTATTTGAATTAATTAATATGAGAAATAAATTAGACAAAATAAAATATATTAAAGTGTACCTATGACTTTCGGTTCGATTTTTAATTGTAAACAAGATTCCCAACTCTAATGTGACCAATGTGGAGTCACAATAAAAAATACTCGACATTGTTTACAATCCTCTTAATTTGAAATAATTATTATTTTTTACACCGCAAGTGTACAGATGGGCGACTTAAAAATAAAAGAAATGGTATGACAGAATCCATAAATAAAATTTACTTCGACAAAATTAATATCAAGAAATAAATTTAACAAAGTAAAATGTATAGTGTACTTTCAGCCATGGAATTACGTATGATTTTTTTAATTGTAAACAAAATTCCTAACTCTAAGTTGATCAGTGTAAGGTGATTCTAGATCTGTTGTTATAGCTTTGCTATGACTATAATGTCCAACACAATACACAATACTAACGTGG